ACTTAAAAAATACACCAAATGCCATCCCTGGGTAAAGGCGAGGGGACTTAACCCTTGGACTAGAGCAGAAATCAGAACATGCTTTCCCAAGAAGGAGGTAAGAATAGCTGAAGTAGACTTAAAAAATTCAAGTCAGTATACTGTAGATTTGATCATTCACGTGTTTATGTGTATGTATGTATGTATCAAAGACCGTAGCCAGACTCTGGCATTTCTACCTTCACGGAATACAACAAAAATCAAGAATGACATCAACGTAGAAGTAGTCATTGGAACATGAGGAAATGTGGAGTTGGTAAAGGATTGAAGAAATCATGAAGTGATAGACTATCCATAAACTGTAGAAGCAGAAATCTGAATTTAAACTATTGAAGGTGTGTGTATATATATATGTGTATATATGTATACATATATATGTATATATACACATATTGATTACTGTATTATGTAAACAAACAATATGTACTTTATCACATGGCATTATATTAGTATTTTATACTATAAAACATACAATAATGTAAATATTAAAAGGCTTAAGAAAATAGGAACAAAAGGAAACTTTAAGATTCTTCCTTTACCTGAGTAGACCATTTTGTGCCCCTGTTTTGCAGAGCTACCTTTTTAGACAATTGGGGACTTTGGAATCTATGAGAATATATGCACCACTTTGACATCTTCAGTAGTTTAAATTCAGATTTCTGCTTCTACAGTATATGAACAGTCTATCACTTCATGATTTCTTCAACTCTTTACCCAATTCCACATTTTCTTAGGTTCTGATGACTACTCCTGCTTTTTTGTCATTCTTGATTTTTGTTCTATTCATAGAAAGCCAGGATCTGGCCATGGCCTTTGATTCTTTCTATACTATCTGATTAAGTGATCACATACACTTTAAAAAATCTGACTTCCAATTTTATGCATGTGGTACCCCCCAAAATACATCAAACATATACATCCACGGGAGCTAGGGTTCATAGGGCAGAGTACCAGAGAGGAGAGAGCTGCAGAGAGAGAGAGAATGCATTGGAGATCTTCAGTCTTCATCTGAGTACTGTTCAGTGCTTACATGGGAGGAAAATTACCTGAAACTAGGGAAAGCCCACTCAAAATCAGAGGAAAAAATCTCCAATACTCATACAAGGCTGGGAATAGTTTCTGTTCCCACAAGCCAGAGTGGAAAGCCTCATAACTTACAAGTCACCATAGATTTTTCAAAAATGTTTTTATTCGGTAGTGGTAACAAATAAAGCCTGAACTAAAAGCTTCTCTAGTCCTGACTAATAAAACCTAAAAGCAAAACCTGAATGGAATCAAACTGTTTTCAACAACTTAACCATGTCCCAGAACAAAGCTCAAGAATATATATAAGAATACAGGAATAAAGATGCAGACATAGAGAATGGACTTGAGGACACAGGGAGGGGGAAGGGTAAGCTGAGATGAAGTGAGAGAGTGGCATGGACATATATACACTGCCAAATGTAAAATAGATAGATAGCTAGTGGGAAGCAGCCGCATAGCACAAGGAGATCAGCTCAGTGCTTTGTGACCACCTAGAGGGGTGGGATAGGGAGGGTGGGAAGGAGGGGATATGGGAATATATGTATATGTATAGCTGATTCACTTTGTTATACAGCAGCAACTAACACAACAATGTAAAGCAATTATACCTCAATAAAGATGTTTTAAAAAAAGAAAGAATACAGGAGTATCCAGTACCCCAAAATTCAACACATCTGGCATTCAATAAAGAAATTACCAGGAAAATATACATAATAAAAATCAATCAGTCAAAACCAATAAAATAGGTACCTATGATAAAGTTAGCATATAAAGATTAAACAATTATAAAGATATTTTGTATATTCAAGATGCTAGAGAAAATATTGAGCATGTCAGATACAGGCCTCAGAAGATGTAAAAAATAACCAAATCAAATTTTGAGAGATGAAAACCACAATATCTGAGATGAAAGAAAAACACATTTATCTATGAAAATTACAATATCTGAGATGAAAAATACAATAGAGGGAGGTTACAAGCACAATAGTGATGCAGAAGTATTCCAAGCAAAACACATGAAATGATATTCAAGTACTTTGGTTACTTCTAATGTGTTTGCTAAAATGTAGACTGAAGCTTGACTTCCTTGTTTTGTTAGTCGGTATTCTAAGTCTGTCATTTGGTCATTTCCAAGCTATCAATGGGCTGGGGCTGTCATAGCTAACATGGATGTCTGGGTCACTCAATGATTCATGCAGAGGCATTGTCTGGGCAACTTACTGACAGTTACTCAGGGTCCAGGAAATCCAGAGCTAGGGTGCATGAATGATTGGAGGTGTTGTAATTAAGTTAGAATTCGTTCAAATGCATTTTCTGTATCCTCTTGTATTTGTGTAATGGTAAACCTTCAAGTCTAAAAATAGCTTGCGTGTACTGTTCTCATGAGGGCTGTGCTCCGTCTAAGCACACAGTGTTGATATAAGATAGGAAATAACTATTTGTGAATAAAGCTAACGGTGCATACTGTTGTTTATTACATGGTAATGGAGTTCATATACTATTAGACTTCTGTGTGGGGCAAAAATCACTCTCTGTGGGAGGGTATGCGTGTCACTTAAAAGGCAAGGTCATTCCTGTACCAAACATAGGGACAAATCAGATCTTATATCCTGGGAATACTTAATCAATTATATTCAATTTACTAAATAATAATGACAGAAACAGTTATTTTCCAGAATGTACTGTGGAACAAATACCCACAAAAATCTCAGTGGCATACAACATAAAATGTATGTTGTACATACATAAAAATGTATCTCTCATACATCTGGAGATTGGCTGAGATGACTGCTGATCTCAACTGGATTTGCTTATGCCTCTGAAGGTCAGCAGAGGATCTGATGATCCAAGCTGGACTTGGCTGTGAGGCTCTGCTTCAAGCTGCAAGTTGATCAGGCAGCTCTGCTCCACTTTTCCCTCATCCTCCTTGGACCAGTGTGCTAACCAGGGCACATTCTCATGGTGCAGCAGAGTCAGAAGACAACAAGCCCGACTGTATAAGCAAATTTCAAGCCTCTGCTTGTACCACATCTGCTTATACCCCATTGATCAAAGTGATGCAGATGGCTATCCTCATGGTCAATATGTGGGGAAGTATACTCTGGGAGAGTGAATATTCTTGAACAATTTGTCACATAGAATGCTTCATCTCTACTGAGAAAAACCAAACTAGAGTTTGGGAAGTCTTAGGGGACAGAGTCAGAGGCCTTTGTTTCACACTGCTTCTTTCCTTGCTGTCCAATTACCCCACCTCAACGTCTGGATGACTGAGACACTGGGAACTGGCCAGAGACCCATTGAAACCACCAACCTTCATGTGTGCCTAAGAGGCAAGCCGTGACACAACATGGGCCTGGAGGGTCAGGAGATGCTTTTTCAGAGACTGTCAGGTTTCTGTGTTCTTTTCTTACAATCGAAGAAACTTCTTTTAATTATTACTGAAGAAAGAAAAGGGTCACAAAATGAAAAACAGAACACGGTTGTATAAGCAGGCCTTCATGAAAAGTGTGTATGAGAGATTCTTTTACAAAGAACTGACTAAAGGAGTGTTCAATTATTAGAGTTTGCATAAGAAGACAAAAGCAGAAAGATAAGTGAAATCCAGTATCATTTTTAAGATATACTAGAAGAAGAAATAGTGCATTTTCTTTTCTTTAAATACTTGGTCTTGAACTGTCATGAGTTGGAGTGCAAGAAAGAGCTCACAACTCCAACGATCAGCTTTCCCTGGCTTATTCGATGAAACAACTTCCAAATCTCAGTGGTTTACTACAAAAAAATAAACCCAACAAAATCATCCTTGCTCATGTTATATGAACACTGTGGGTCATCTGTGGCTATATTCCAGGCTGTGAGTCAGATTCACATCTGCTCCATGTATCTTTTCTATCACTGGTCTAGATTGAAGGAAGAACTCTGGGGACATGATCATTGTCGTAAGCAGAGGAGAAAATTGAGCGCTACTGAGCCAAGCTACACAACACATTTTAACATTTCTGATTATTGTGGCACATTTCAAGACCACTCAAATTCCACTGGTCAAAGAAAGTCAATATTTAACATTCCTTGAGTGAGGAAAGCCCCCTTCCATGGTAGAGAGACAAGAGAATAAATATCCTAACAGTAATTCAGCCTATCGCAATTATGTATTGTAACTATTTTCTTCTTTAGCTTCAGCAGTCTCAACTTTAAGCTGGAAAGGTATTAATTACTGTTTCTACATTCCATAGCTCAAGGATCGTGTTCAGCTCTTCTATTCATTCATTCAATAAATATTACTAAGTTTTTTTGGAGACAGAAGGCATATACATGTGAAAAGTTAGTTACATGATGATATAAGTTAATATAAATGGATGTCAGGAGACTCTTCTGCTAAGTGTTCAATAAAAGAATTGGTCATTAGTATGAGTCAGAAGTCAGAAAGGAACTGACTTAATGGAAGGAATAAGTCTCATTAGAAGTGGAGCTGTCCAACTGTAGAGCTAATAACATTGAGTGGTAGTAGGCTAAAAAAGAGTGGCAGAGGCTGGAGGCCACTTACCAGAAGGATTTTGTGGCAATTTCAGTACTAGTTGTGGTGTTGGCATTTTAGTCATAAAATTTGTGGTTCAATTCCTCAGTCTGGATGAAGAGTTCACCAAGACCTCAGTTTCTTGTGCCAATCTCAGGCAGTATTTCGACTGTCTTTCACTTAGATGACAATAATGCTTTGAGAGGTTCTTTATGTTTTCCTTTATCATGTGATGAACCTATAAGAATAGGAAGGTCAAACCTCTGCTATCAGACTATAGCGACACACCCAGTTTGATCTGACTGGTAGATCTGTGAGGAGTGGGACCTTGTCATACTGGAGAATTGCCAAACTCTGAAATTTTCTTACTGAGATTTTCCCTCTCCATCTCAATTCAGTATCCACTGGACTGATAGGTCCTGGACTAGTGGTTAAGGAAGAAAGTACGTATCTGTACATTCTTTCTCTGGAATAGACTGAGCACATGATCACAAATCTGCTTGGTCTTGACACCATAGATGGGCTTGACCATGGGTGAGAAAAGAAGATAAAAGATAGCAAGGAATACGTGGACATGAGGGGCATCCCGGTGAGCCACACAGTGTATCACTGAGCAGATGACCACAGGTGTGTAGGTGGACAAGATAGCACCTATGTGGGACACACATGTCCCAAAGGCCTTGTAGTGGGCCTCCTGAGAGGCAAGCTGTAGAACTGCCCGAAGGATGAAGATATAAGACAGGACAAAAAAGAGCAGGTCCAACACCACTATGAACATGGCCACAGCAATGCCATGGATATTGTTGAAGCGAATGTCCCCACAGGCCCAGCCTTACCACACCCATGTACCCATAGTAACAGTGGGCAATCACTGGACCTCAGCAGTAATGGAAGCATCTAAGCAGAAAGGGGAGTGGAGTCATTAGTGTCACAGCCTGAGTCACAGCAGCCAAGCCAGTCTTGGTGATAAGTGGCCCAGTAAGCATGGTGATATAGTGCAGTGGCTTGCAGATGGCCACATAGTGGTCAAAGGCCATGGCCAGCAGCACTGCTGACTCCATGATAGAGAAGGAGTGGAGAAAGAACATCTGGACTAGATTGGCATAGAAGTTGATCTCCTGATCTCTGAACCAAAAAATAGCCAGCATTTTGGGAAGTGTTGTAGAAGAGAAGACCAGATCAGTGGCTGCCAACACGGCCAAAAAGAGGCACATGGGCTCCTGGAGGGCTGTATCACCTCGAATGATGAAGAGGAGGGTGCAGGTTACCAAGCAGGGATGAAGCAGAAGGGAATGGAGATCCAGAAGGGAAGCAGAAGGGCCGAAGCAGAAGGGAATGGAGATCCAGACATGCAGTTGCTCCAAACCTGGAATTCCTACCAACAGGAAGGCAGCTGGATGGATTGAGGTAATATTAGAGGCTAGCAAGGCTCCTAAAGATTCTCCTTGTCAGTTTTTACAGGGTCCCTTCTCCCATGTATAACTTCTTGGGAGGATTAGCCCTTATTCTCATTGCTGGACCTTAAACAAAATTAGTAGTCCTGATAGACTAGAGAAGATATAGCCATAGACATGGAGAAGCATAACCCATATTTTCTACCCTTAAGGAACTTTGAATCTCATTTAGTAGATAGAACATTAAACATCATTAAAATGGATATCACAAGACAATTTTATAAAGGAACGGAGAAAAGGTAGTGTTTTCTGTGTTCATGGTGATGTCAGAAATACCCTGATAAAAAGAAGTAAAAATACATTTAAACCAATTTCCTTAGAATATACATTGGTACCTTTCTATCTGATAATCAAGCTAAACTCACAATCACAAAAGCCAATGTTCTGTTCAGAAATCTCAGGCTTGGGTGCCTCGATAAGTCAATTAATAGGGGCATGCAATTTCCAATGCTCATATTAATCACACAATCTGTATATTTTCTCTAACACTACTACATCTGATGTGGTTGCCACTAGCCACACATGGCTATTTAAATTTGTTGAAATTAAATTAAAATTCAATACTTCAGTCACACAAAACACTTTTTAAGTGCTCAGTAACACATGTAACTAGTGGCTACAATATTGGACCATTCAGATACAGAATATTTCCATCACTGCAGAAAGTTCTACTGGAGAGAACTGTTCTAGAATATATCTCCCAAGTCCCTTCCACAACCAAAAATCTCTGTAAATACAGCTCTGCCTCCAGCTTGCTGAAAAATGAACCACCTCTTTTGATTCTCCGTCATCTCAATTCAAATTAACTTCCATATTCATGTGGCTCTCCCTCCACCCATCTTCCAGCTCCTTCATTTTCATCACAGGAGACTTCTCATCTTCAGTAAGACTGATATCTGGTTTCCATTTAAAAAAAAAAGCCCTTTATTCCTAACACTATTTAATCTTTCCCTCTTCTCTTATTTTTCTCTTTTCTTTCGAATCCTTAAACATTGGAGTGGCCCAGTTTTTACACAGCTACTCTTCTCTCTTCTAGGTCCAGGTAATGTGTTTTGTTTATGAGCATTAACAAGATAATGAATTTAAAACATTTACCATAACACTGAATAAAGTAAGTACTGAAAGAACTTGCTCTCTTGTCAATATTAGAAGATTTTTGGAAACTTAAAATCTCTAAAATATCATAGTAGTGTTAGGCAGCTGGTTCTAGCTTTCTCCAATTCCAGTGTCCTAAATAACAAGGCTTTATTGCTTCCATTAAAATGCTTTATATGCAATACAAGTTCAGCATATCTAAATTGAAAACAACCTAATTTCTTTCCATGTGGTAGAGAAAAAATTTAGAATCTGAAGGTCTTGTATCAAATCATGACTGCCACTTAAACTAGCTGCATGACCTTGCACATATCATTTATCTCCAAGCCTGTTTCTTTGTAAATGGGGAATTGCAATGCTCTACCTCACTTAGTGAAGGCTGTAGGGAGTGTAAGTGGGATTATGTATAAGATCTTTTTGTATAATTCTTTAGTGTTTGCAGAACTTTATTTGCCATTTACATCTCTCCTCCTCCATAGAACTACACTTTTCTTTAAAAAATTATATTGATTAATATTCTCCCTCCCTTGTTTTTATGTTCTCCTCCTTCTATTACCTCAAATCTCTGCTGCTTTTCACAGAAAACATCTAGAAATGCTTATATTCAGTCTCAACCGATTCAAATAGCATTTGGTAATAAAACATTTCATTCCCATTACTTCCCTGGAACTGCTCTCATTCACCACCAATGACCTCCATGATTATGGTGCCATTGTAACTTACCTTCTTTCATGCAACTCAGCCTCTCAGCAACTTTTATCTGAATTACAACTCTCTCCTTTTTAAAACCCTCTTTTCTCTTTGGTACGATGATATTACCATTTCCTACCTTCTTAGATTCTCATTTCACTCCTTTTTCTGCCTTACATCTAAATATTGAATTCCTGAAGGGCTCAGTATTGAGCTGTGATCAGTTTTATATTCACAGAGCATTCAGTAAATATATTCAGTAAATTTCTGGAAAAATATTTTTACTGAATAGGTTAGGGATAAATCCAAGAACAAAGCAGACTAATACCTTTAGTAGAACGTTTGTTCTAATAAAAGAACATAATAATTGAATTACATAGTATGATTTGAAGGTATTATTATAGTGAAAAAACACAGGGTGATGAGGATAGTAAATCCTGAAGTTGGAGGAGTGGTAAGGTAGCAATTTTAAATAAAGAGATCAAGAAGGGAACTTACGCAAAGATTGAGGTGAGAAAATAAATTAGCTTGGTTTCTGGCTTCTTTAATAGAACTTGGGGTTCCATGCAGGTGGTTTATGTGGAGAAAATAATAGGAAGCAAGAGTGGGATGACATGGTAAAATGGGAAAGCAGAGAAGCATATCCAAAAGTGCAGTACTGAGCTGGATAATGCTATCAACTGTGTCCAATCCCCCATGAAGAACCATGTAGAAGGCACCTCAGAATTATCTACTCAAGACACAAAAGAGGGGTATATTTATCCACTGGTTTCCACCCCACCACCAAGTCAAGGGTTAATTTCTTCACACTTCCAGGTTCACATAGGCTCCAGAACAGCTGAGCAGTCTCCTTCAGGTACACCACACCATGGAGCAGAGAAACACAGGGGCAGGAAACAGCTGAGTAAGGTGCAGTCAGGTTCTAACTGCACTCAAGTGGTTGCCACAGCAATGGCTTGAGCAAAAAGGTGGATGAGAGGACATGAGACAGGCCTAAAAGATGGAGAATATAGGGAATTACCCTTGTGTGAAGAACTCTAAGCAAAGGGAACAGTCAGAACAAATGCCCTAAGACAGAATACACTGAGGGCTCAAGGATCAGCCAGAGGTCCATGTAGTTAGATGATGTGAATGAGTGGGAGATTTCTAGAGGTCATATATTTAGATCCAGATCACACAGGGCCCTATAGGTCTTCATAGAACTTTGCAAATGCTGCTTATTTCTCTCACTGACACTTTTTTTTGAGAAGAAAAGTGATAGACTTGAAAAATATATTTTTAAAGTTTTTTTTGCATCTTCTGTAATGAGAATAGCATGAAATGGTAAGGGCAAAAACAGAAGGAAAAAAGACTCTAGAGGCTGGCTGTAATCAGGGAAGGAGAATGTTGGCTAAGAACCAAGGTGGCAGCATATGTGGTAAGAAGCGATTCAGATTTGGGATATATTTGAGAAAAGAGCCATGGGATTTTTTGACAGATTAAATACAGGTCATGAGAGAAAAGGAAGTCAAAGATGACACCAAGATATTTGGCTTGAGCAACTGAAAAAAGAAGTTGCTTTCAGTTGAGATGGGGGAGGCTATGAAGGGGAAGATCAACATTTTAATTTTGGATATGTTTTATTTAGGAAGTCAATCAGAAATCCAAGTGAACATGTTGATATATTTAGATATACAAGTCTGGAGTTCAAGACAGATCTTGGCTGCTGATATAAACTTATGATCACTGGAAATAGATAATATTAATAGCTATGAAGCTGAGATCACCAAGGCACTGAGTGTTCATAAAGAGCAGAGAACCAAGAACTAAATCCCAATATTAAGAACTGGAGTAAAGTAGAAATTGAGGCGAATGGAGGAAGAGTCAGCAAAAGAGACTGAGAATGGGCAACCTATCAGAGACTTTTAAAGATGATGTACTGTCTTGATAGGCTGTTGAATGTAGTGTATTAAGGAGGAGGGGACTATTACCATACTAAGTGCTACTGATGAGTCAAATAATTCCAGTACAGAGAATTGGCCTTGTGTTTAGAAATGAGGTAAACTGGATACCTTGGTAAGAAAAATTTTGAATAGAGGGAGGAAAAACCTGGTTTGACTGAGTTAGATAAGAAAAATAGGAGGAATTGAAATTGGTTCACATGGCTCACTCTTTTGAGGAGGTTTGCTGCAAAGACCATCAGTAAAAGGGACACTGGCTGCAAAGGAAAGTGGAGTAAAGGCAAGGTTATGTGTGTGTGTGTGTGTGTGTGTGTGTGTGTGTATGCGTGCATGGATGTGTGTGTGTGGAAGTGTGGGGGTGTTCATTTGTTTTTAAGAAGGAAGAGAAAATGGCATGTTTTTAAGCTGAGGAGAATTATCCAGTAGCAAGGGAAAACTTAAAACACAGGAGAGGAAGGAGAATGTTGTTTCTGAAAAGTCTTTGAACATTGTTCTCTTTCTAGGTGTTGTACTTGTTTACCATGGATTTTGTTCTCAGACGCTAAAACTTCACAAATAAATTTCCATGTCTTACCTTCCCTCTGAGCCACAGACTAGTATATCCAACTGTCTATTTAATAACCCCATGTAGCAGTCTTGCAGATATCTCAACCTATAATGCTTAAGGCAGAAATATTGATTTCTGCCCTCTGTGTGAATTTCATACATCAACATGCAATATCCTCTTCAATCAGCTGCTCCACCTAAAATCAAGTGAACCTTTGTTCCACCCTTTACTTTCTGCACCACATCAGCAGGTCCAATTGGGTCCACCTCCACAGTAAGTCACAAAGTTGCCTACTCTGATTTAATTACCTCCACTCTATTCAAACCACCATCATCTGTCAATTACTTAAAGTAGATAGCTAGTGGGAAGCAGCTGCATAGCACAGGGAGATCAGCTTAGTGCTTGTGACCACCTAGAGGGATGGGATAGGGAGAGTGGGAGGGAGACGCAAGAGGGAGGGTATATGGGGATATATGTATATGTATAGCTGATTCACTGTTATACAGCAGAAACTAACACACCATTGTAAAGCAATTATACTCCAATAAAGATGTTAAAATAAAATAGAGAAAAAAAAGACTCCTAAAATTTTTTAAACATTTCTGCTTTTGTTCTCCAATTTCTATCCTTCCACAGTTACCTGCCATATTCTGAAGTGAAGGATAGAGCAAAGGGACTGTACCTTAATTCACTTCTATGACCCCCAACCTCTGGCATACATACTGTGTTGAATATTTCACCAAATGAAGCATGAACAACCAGACTAATGGAAAATGTCTCCTCACTTTGTTAGAAGACCTCCCTATCTGATCCAATCCTAGAATAGTTGCTTCTCATCTAATTTTTCATCCATGATAGAAGTTCTAAGGAACCCCCCACTAGCCTTGGTTGCATGTATCAGCATAACATCCTCTTCTCATTGGAAAGTATTTTTGCATGTCTTACTAATATTCTCTGGAACCAAGGACTTAGCTTTGTAGGAAACAAAATTATGACAGCAGGAACTTCTTTTGTTTTTCACTGGTTTATCTTCAGTGCCCCAAACAGTGCCAGGTACATATCAAGCACTCTATAAATGACTGTTAATGATCCCATATACCTGTTGCAACTTTACCTTCAGTAAATATGCATTTCCACAAAACCAAACATATTTAACTTTACCTCTGAGTCTCTACATTTTCCTGGCTTACTCTGTACATTTTCAGAACATAACTGACTACTCTGTGTAGTAGTCAGTACAGAGAGTGAGAGTACAGTCAGTGTGAGAAAGTACTCCTTTCTCACACAAAGAAAAATGTAATCCTGGTAAAGAAATTGGATTGCTCAGATACATTTTTCTAATCTCTTCTCTGAGGGTTGACACTAGGGTTCCCCTATCCCAGGGCTCCACCCCTGGGGTTTTCTGCAGCCCATGTCCTGTCCATATTTAGTGGTGCCAATTCATGCCTCCCAAAGGTCATTTCTTGCTCTCCAGAGGCTGTGAGCACTTCAGGTACAGCCCGCTTGTACCTTGGTCTTTCATGTGCCTCTCCTTATTCCTACCCTACATATACAGTGTCTTCTAAGAAAGAGAGCCCCATTAGAACATGTAAACTGCAACCAAGTCCTATCTGATAGGACCTGTAAGGGCAGGAGTTCTAGCTGAACCAGGCTAAGGCCAAGATCATCTCTTAGGTATTTGTTTTGCATACATGTTACATATTGGCACTGATTTCCAGCTTATAACTTTGGAATGGCACTTTCTCTGGTTTTACTCTGTTTCTTATATCTAAAATGGAGATAATATTCTCAATTTTTCCTAATTCACAGGATGAAGGGAGGATATAAGTATATATTTGAGAAGGTACTATTATTATAATTATCAATAAATAATTACCAACCATCTATAAATAATAAAGGATCTTTCTACCTACAACTGACTTTAATATCTGCTATTTTGCAAAGTCCAGAGTCAGAAGCCAGTTTTTATCAGGGTCCCCCATGAACTTTACCTGCCCTAATTCCCCATGATACTTTAAGAAAAGTAATTTCAGATCTAGGTACCTCAATCACACCCACTCCCTTCCTACAGAGATACCTGGACCTAACTTTATCTTCCCTTATTGTTAGCCTCCAGGGGTAGTTGATTCAGTGAACTCAATCCCCCAGAGCCCACAACCTCCAGCTCCAAAGATAGGCCTGATACCCTGAGATGTTAAGATAAAGTGGAATTCCTGCATAATACCTTTAAAGTTGGAGCCTAAATTAACCAAGCATAGATAGTCCAAAAGTTGGCATCAGGACCAAAGCAAGCAAGATGGAGAAAAAACAGGCTTGCGTTGAGAGGAAGCTAATCATGGAACAGAGGACACACTGTTAAGTTAGAAATAGCACACTCATAGGAAATGGGGATCTAGGCCATGGCCAGGAAGGCTGAGGTGATACAGACTTAATTGAGCGACTATAGCTTTTAGTCGGAATGTCCAGACAAGAGCCAGATAAAGCAGGCAGGGCTTGAGGGGACAAAATACCTTATTTTGCCCCCTGACTCCATTCTGGGGGCCTAAAGCCTGATGT